ACGAGATTTCGAGAGGGTGATTGAGGCGCAAAAGGTTGTTTTTGACAATTTCCTAAACAAATCCCACACCACAACCGGAGGCTTTACTTTCACTGGACAAGCGTCCGAGAGCAAAACCAAACCCGACCCAATTCCACAAGATGTGTTTCTCGATGCTAACGTTACGACCCGTAAACAGCGCGGTTATCTCATGCGACAGAATACCAAAATGGTTACTGCCAGTGATAAGGATGGCGACGATTCTCGTAACGGCTACCGATCCGCGGGCGGCTCACCCGTGAAGGCGAATCGTCCTCAGTCGTGGACAGTGGAGCCGTGGAATCCTCAACCGAGAAAGAGGAGTCTAAAAAAGCGACCCAGTACCACCGGGCCGGTGCCACCACTTCCTGGTCAGGAGAGTAATGCCACGGCAACAACCTCGACAACCGAAGACGACCTCAATGCCGGGATGGAGGGGCCAGAGAGCGGGGAGAGAGGTCGGTTGTTCGTTAAAGTGATGGGAGTGAAAGATCTCGATCTGCCCATTCCAAAGAGTAAGTCTCCTGCTTTGAGGACAAAAGGGGGTTCGACTAACCATGCTGTAGACGAACGGACTTGGTTTGCTTTGACCTTGGACAACGGCGTTCACTGTGTGACGACGGCTTGGTTGGAGCTTGCCAGAAATGCACCCATCGGCCAGGAGTTCGAACTTGTTGTACCAAACGACTTGGAATTCCAATTGACTCTGAACGTCAAACTGGAGAAGCCCGCCCCGGTCAAGCAAAAGGCGATACCATCTCCTGCCAAGATTACCAAGGCCAAGACGTCGACATTCAGCAGAGTGTTTGCTTCACCCAAGAAGCGGCGCGAAATGGAGATGCGACAAAAAGAAGAGGAAGAGCGCCTGGCACAACAGCAGCGTGAAGCTGCTGCCCGGCAAATGAAGACTCAGCCTACGGCATGGGATCTTCTCTCCCCTTTGGCCGCCGAAGACGGAAGCTTTGCTCGTTCCTATGTGTGCCTTAAGGAGCACGAAACGCGCTGTTTCGGACGCCCGTATACAGTGGAAGTTGCAGCCTTCAACGAGTGGGCTACGGAGGAGGCCGGTTTTGCCTCAAGTGTCAAGAGCAAGCGCGGTAGTACCGGGCCTGTTCGCCGTGCGCCGTATAAGATCGGAAAGCTGGAACTCCAGCTCCTTTTCGTACCTCGTCCCAAGGGAGCGACCGATGAGGATATGCCCAAGAGCATGAACTCGTGCATTCGCGAGATGAAGGCTGCTGAGGAGCGCCTGGCCCAATCTTGGGAGGGTGTTCTCAGCCAGCAGGGTGGAGATTGCCCGGTATGTTTGCGCTCATGTCCCGTAATGACTCTTGACGTTTTTGCTAACAATGTCTGTTATAGTACTGGCGTCGCCGTTACTTCAAGTTGGTTGGTACTAAGCTGACCGCCTATCACGAGGCAACTCGACAGCCACGAGCAACCATCAATCTCGCGAATGCCAAGCGGCTTATCGATGATCGTCGCGCCCTCATGGAGAAAGAAATTACCGGCAAAAACGGCAAGCGCCGTCGCTCTGCGTTCGCCGAGGACGAGGAAGGCTACATGTTTGTCGAAGAAGGGTTCCGGATTCGCTTCAATAACGGCGAGCTGATCGACTTCTACGCCGACAGCACTGAGGAGAAGGAGGGCTGGATGAAGGTTCTCGGCGAAGTCATTGGTCGCGACACGATTCTTGCTTCCGATGACGACACGGTAACGGGCAGCCCATCGAAGCTGAAAGGCAAGTGGTGCGAGTTGGTGTTGAAGAGAGAGGAGACGATTCGCAAGCGTGCCGAGGGCCGACGGGTACACTCGAGAACGAAGAGCAGTCTTGTATAAGTCAGGCTGGCTCTCGCTTGCGCCACACAAGTGTTGTAATGTTGAGTCATGAGAACATGCTGTGAAGAGATATGAGAGAATTGGGAAAACAAAACAGATGATGCATGGAAAGAGGTGCCTTTTGGTGGTGGAAAAGCCCGGTGCTTGGAATCGTGATAGGGCACCGCCGTGGAGTATGACATCATAGAACCATGATCGTGCTCTTAGTTTTCTGCCCGTTGTTCAGCGAAGCGCGGGATTCACGGAATGCACAATACATTGCATACATGGCATTTGGTTGCATTGCGGTGGTCTCGTACATCAATTCTGGCTCTGGCATGTTTGACGGGTGGATAGCAAGCGTCGCATAGCCTCGCTGCCTTCTTTTTATTTCTTCGCTTCAAAAGGACCAAGGTCATTTTACTACTTGTCGTTCTCTGTTTTTTTTTACATCTCTCTCTCTCTCTCTCTCTTCTTGCCGGGCTGGTCTGGATCTGGAAGCTTGCTGGCGCGTTGGTGTTTGCTGCCGGTTGTTCTATGTTGCCATCATTTGAGTAAAGTACACACGTTGCCGAGTAACACACACTACTTAGTACCTACCTACTCTTCATTGTCTAATTGGGCTGGTGCCCTTCTTAATTCTGTCGAATTCTGGGTGTCTTGTTAGTAGAGCAGTAATAAGACAAAGAAATGCGAGCAGAGATAAAGAGAGAAAAGAAAATCTTTCCAAGAATTTGAGCTTCGTAACTGGTCATGAGCTTTCCGTACATAGACTGAATCGTAGCTATTAGAGTAGGTTCGACTTGCATATAAAGTTGATTCACGAACGTTGCTCCATCGTGGAAACAGTAAGGACTGGTCTCTTCATGTTTGCTCCCCGCACCGAAGTGTCGCCCACCATCTTGAATTATGAGGTTGCGCTTCAATGCTGATGAGTCAAAGAGGTAGCTGCGTCATTTCCACAATGTTTGCAGCGTGGCCTCAGCAAGACTGATGCCCGAGGGCACTTGAAGGCCTGTCCAATAGTGAATCAGTTACGAGAAACGCTCAAGATGTATCAGAGCCCTTCCGAACCGGCGTGAAGGCCATATGCTTAAAACATCCGGCACCAGGCTGACAACGACTCAGATATGATCGCCTGACACATTCGTAAAACGCGCCGGGATGTTTTGTCCTCCCGGCCATGCCGTCCACGGCGAGCACACGGCAAGGACGTAAGGAGGGTTTCCAGCGCAGGTGAGAACCAGAACCTCGCCTGACCCGAAAGGCAAGAATCATCAATGAGGCACAGGCCCAAAACGCGCTCCTCACCTCCTCTTCCTATGCCCGCCCTTGGCCTTTCCACCCATTCCCCTTCCTCCTCTCCCGACAGGTCCCGAGTTCTCCATACTCCTGATCTCTCTTGAACTGATGGTAAGCTGTGCGCCCCTCATCCTTCCTATACCAGGCATATCCACCGGCCTATCTCCTCCACTCCTCTTCTTCACATTACCCTTGCCCTTGCCGGACGCCTTCTCCAGGATGATGCCATTCTCCCTGGCCTCCCGCCTCCTCTTCTGCTCGTACGTCTCCGACGCCTTCTTGATGCCCTTGCGCATGTTCATCGGCATCTTCTCCTGCTCCAGCACACTGCCCTTTGCCCCAAGCGCTTGCATGCGCATGTCCGTCGTCTTTTTGCGGATGCGGCCCTCGGCGAAGGCGCGCGTGTTCTTATCGGTTTCGGCGGCGGCGCTAGAGAGGTAGTGTGAAGCGTTGCCGCCGGCGGCGGAGAGGATGTGCGACTCGGCGATGAGGCGCTGGAGAGCGAGGTCGTTGGCGAGGAATGCGGCGCTGTCCTCGCCCTCGCCATCTTTGTCCTTTTTGGCCTTGGTGCCGTTTGTTTGGGAGTTGGAGTCGAGGATGGCGTTGGGGGGTTTGGAGGACTGTGGTTTTGGTGGGAATGTGTTAGTGAACTCGTCCGTCCTCCCCAGAAGCTTTGAGTAACTCCATATGAGAAAAGTGAAAGAACCTACCAAGTAAGCTTTTAGCTCCTTCTTTGACATCTTCGACGTGTCCACCTTTGACGGGTCCTTTGAGTAGTCCACCACCATTACCTTGGGGGCATCCTCATCATCCTTCTCCTCCTCTTCACTGTCGCTGCCACTATAATCCTCCTCATCCTCTAAGCCGGAGAAGTCGTCTTCCGAGCCCGAATCTACCGCATCATCGTCCTCAAGTATTTGGTCCTCGTGAAAATCATCACCGACGCCGTCCCCATCCTCTTGGGCTTTCCTTGTCTTGTTTTTGGTCGACTTTGATTTCTCGACCTTTGTTGTGGTAGTGGTAGCAGAGGCAGAAGCAATTGATTTGAACCGAGCCTCAAAAGCGCGCTGGAAAACGGAAAGCGCGTCGCTGATATCTTGCTGTTCCTCTTCTTCCTCCTCGTCTGCCTTCTTCACGGGCTTTTCCTCCTTTTTGGCGAGTTTCTGCTTCTTTCTCTTGACCTCAAGGTCCTCCGCAACTCTCTTTTTCTTCTTGGCCTCGGGCTGGGCGGCTATGCTTTTCCGCTTTCCTAGTAGTGTGGCTGATGGCATTTTCAAAGACGACGTTCGATGACGAGATACGAGACGGTATGTAGTTGAAATTAAGTCGGTGTTGCGATTATGTTGCAGCTGATTGGTTTGCCGCAGTCCAAAATTTTTGGCTTGCAGTTGGTCCAATGCTGGACAAGGGACCATCTGGGGCTTATCGATAAGGTAATAATTCTTGTTCCTGTAGGTACCTATGTTAGTTACCTCTAGCTTGCATACAGCTCCCTTTTCGGGTTCCCATAGTCGGCATGCAGTGGAGTCGGGGAGGGATCTGCAGCACTGCCCCTGTGTCCGGCACTGGTAGGGTACCTCTAGTAGGTAGGGTAGCGGGACATCTTCCCGCAACGCCCACTGAACACATAGGGCTACCCTACTGAAACATAGAGGTAGCGGGTGGCATCCTTGACTGCGATTACGGGCACGTCACCTAGGTAGGTCCGGCCGGGCCCAGATGACGCCCGGGAATCGGTCTCACATTCCATCCCATCCCGTCCTGCGCGTCACCCACACTAGAACCTTGACACCTGAAGCTTCATTCACCTTTTATCGAGTCACATCAACTGCTCAACAACTTAAACCTCCACCCACCTTACACCAAAATGACGCGCTTCCGCCCCTGCATCGACCTCCATGCCGGCCAAGTCAAGCAAATTGTCGGCGGCACGCTCGACAGCGCGACCTCGGAACTCAAGACCAACTTTGTGTCTCCCCACCCCCCTGCTTACTTTGCCAAGCTGTACCGCGACAATGAGTTGTCGGGAGCGCACGTCATCATGTTGGGGCCGGGGAACAAGGAGGCGGCCTTGGAGTCGCTGAAGGCTTGGCCAGGCGGCTTGCAGGTCGGAGGCGGGATCACGGATGCGAATGCGAGGGAGTGGGTGGAGGCGGGCGCTGAGAAGGTTGGTTGATTTTAGTTTGGTGGTGTTTTGGTCAAGCGTTTTCGTGATTTTACCTAGGGTGGGACAGGTATTGGGCATGGCTGTTGTTTGCATCTTGGGTTTGAGTTGGGGAGTTGTGAAGGGGCATGTTTCTGTTCTCCTTCCCAGAACGTTTTGTTTGTTTACTTTCCTAAAGGGGTGCCGCATGCTATCATGATCCATCCCTCTGACCTCTGACCTCGGGCTCATCGAGCTTCCCTTCCACCGTCGTTCATACCTTCCTTCTCCTTTCACAAGATCACCCCGCTAAAATGTCCGCTTCTAACATCACAGGTCATCATCACCTCCTACCTCTTCCCCAACGGCAAATTCTCCCAGTCCCACCTCGACGCCGTCCTTGCCGCCCTTGACGGTGACAAGAGCAAGCTGGTCATCGACCTGAGCTGTCGCCGCCAGGGAGACAACAGGTGGTTTGTTGCCATGAACAAGTGGCAGACTATTACTGACATGGAAGTGAGCGAGGGTAAGTCTATATTTATGTCTCTTCGTTCCTCATTTACCGTTTGCGTTCTTTTCTAGTGGATGACTCACCCATTGATCCAATTTTTTTTTGACTCAATCACAAACAGAATCCATCAAGGCATTGGAACCTTACTGCTCTGAATTTCTCATCCACGCCGCCGATAACGAAGGGTTGCAAAAAGGCATTGACGAGAAGCTCGTCCAGCGGCTGTCCGAGTGGTGTTCCATCCCCGTTACTTATGCCGGTGGCGGTCGCAACCTGGAGGACCTGGAGACCGTCAAGAGACTGAGCGGTGGCAAGGTTGACCTGACTATCGGCAGCGCGCTGGATTGCTTTGGTGGAAAGGGTGTCACGTTGCAGGAATGCGTGGAATGGAATCGCAGGCAATGAGTAGTGCGTTTGCATAAGATGATGTGCGTGGAAAAACGAAACCAAAAGGGGGGTGAGTGCTGTGTATAAAGAGGTAGTCGTATACCCTCGAGTGTATTCGGGTCTAAATACCTATGACCTCAGATGCCTTGCTCTGCCCCAAAACGCGGAATGGAACGACGATGCAACATCGGCTGATTCACACCAGTCTTTACGAGCACGTTTACTGAGACCGTTTCTTGATTTGGGCAGCATCAGCAGCATCGGAGACTCGGTGTACGAAGACTGCTAGGAAGGGAAACAGTAAATAGCTGTGGGTGTCAGAGGTGACGTTGAAAACATCAATAAACAAGCAACAAGATAATATTAGTCTATCCGCAACAACTAATGCAGGGGCGACCACATCGTTTAATTTCCAAATACTTGTGACTCACAACTGAAGGTGAATGGATAATGAGACGCGTGGAAGGCGCACCCCAATCCAGTTTTCCGTTTTGGCAGTATTTAGACCTGGCCTGGTGGCCCGCCACTCCTTTACTTTCCTCTCAGCCACAAATCCAGCATTTCGCCCATCATTGGGATTACTTCGTCTCAATGACGCGAATCCAATGACATCCCTGTACACGCTTACCGTATCTTGCTCATCACTTACAAACCATCTCCGCGGAGCCGTCTCGAGACAGAACAAAACAAGCAACTGTGACCCAAAAACGGATACGAAACCATAGGCGACCCTTGCGTTCACATCAGTCGAGGTACTGTCAACCCAGCAACTATACAGAGTCCCTTCTCAAGACCATCCCTCACTTCTCACCTCTTCTCTTCCTCCAACAGCAGGTCAGCGGGTCAGTCGACGAAGCCCACACATACTCCAGATAATACCAAGACCACCACCACCACCAGCACCACCACATAACACATTATAGATCATTTCCTCCTGTCATCCACCAAATGGAGAACAAGCCTCCCCCAAAGCACGAATCCGTCGGCCAAAAACTCAGCGGTAAGCAAGAAGAGCAGCTGGAAAAATCAATGAGGCTGCTGAAAAGCAAGATGGAAAAGGACCAGTGGGAGGCTGAGAAGAAGAAAATACACGAGGAGGAGAGAAAGGCCAAGGCCGAGGCCGCCGAGAAGCACAAGATGAAGGGAGAAGCTGAAAAAGGTACTGGCACTCAGTAGCAGGGGCAGGACCAGTGCCAATACCGACTGACAAAGCTACCGTGGAAACCACTGCGGAGGCTGGTGAGGGAGCTAAGAGTGGTGATAAAGGTGAGGGTGAAGGATAACAACGATGGATTGGTACGGAGGGTGGGGATAGATGGGGAGAGTGTTAGGTAGGGCATGTAGGGTTGGGAGAGGCGGTTAAAGGAAGCGGGAAAGGAAGAGGGATGATGAATTTGAAGACGGTAGTATGCATTTACGCCTAGATGTGGGGAGCGGATTGAGAGGCGATTTGCGCTTCACGTGGGCAATTGCCAGAAGGAGCGGGTGTTGATATATCATTAAATCACTCCATTATTCTCCCCTAAGCGTGTTCTGGCCTGCTTCAATGCCATGTCTGCGTAGCGCGTCTTCGTTGTGTTCTGAACCTAAGATTGATGATGCGCATCTTCCCTACTGCGACCAACAAAAGCCTCCTTCAAAAATCCAAAAAAAAAGAAGCAAGAAGAAAAATGCAAACACCCAAATGCTTTATCTCCAGCCATTCCGCTGTTCGATGGAAATCGCAAAATGCTCGGTCGCCCAGGTAAGCTTGTGGAACGAACCACAATGCTCCAGCTGCGACGTACGAAAACCATGCCACGAGTACCGCGCACCCGGCAATGTTTTCATCAACGGAACGGAACCACTGTGCCATGAGACCGGCACAGCAGAGCCCGTTGTGGTGAAGGGGTCAGATGAGAGACGTTATATAGTGTCTGCAGACTGCAGCCGGCAACTTCGGAGCGGGCAGAAAGCGTCTTGTAGTCCAATGTTTCAGGAGGCTGAGGCGCCCATCATTACCGAACCGTGATTATTCTTTGGTGCTAGTAGGAGACGTCTCAGCCTCCATCTCCATGTCCTGGTCTCTGTCGACATTATCACTCCCCTTGTTTTCGCCGTCCTCACCCCTATTCTCCCCGCTACTCCCCGGCTCCGGCGCCACCGGAAAATGCAGGTGCTTCCAGTCCTCCAGCTCCTCCGTTACTGACCGCAACCGGTCCCGGATACTCTCAATCGCATAACTGCCCAACAGCAACCTCAGCGGCGGGTACGAGCAGTGGCCCAGCTGCCACACCAAGTCCGCGCACTTCTGGGCACTGGTCGGCTGCTTATCGCCTAACCACTGCACCATCCTTTTCGCATGCAGCGCCGGCGACGTCGCATGTGAGTACGGTTCACTGGCCGGCTTGATCAAGAAATGGCCCCAGCGGGGCACCATAGATGTATCAGCCTCGTCCCTCCTTACCAACCCCGGTTCGACGAGAGTGGCCTTGATGTTGAACGCGTCAACCTCGTAAAGCATCGCCTCAATCAGACCTTCCACCGCATACTTGGTCGCACAATAGGGTCCCAGACCCGGCACGCCTAGCGCCCCAGACGTAGAGCTGAAAATGATGTACCGCCCGCCGTGCCCTAACTCGCGGAAATAGGGCAGGCTGGCCTGGATGATGTGCACGGTGCCCATAAAGTTCGTCTCGAACTGGTTGCGGATCTCGTGCTCGTCCTGGTCCTCGCACGCGCCGATGACGCCGTAGCCGGAGCAGTTGGCGATGCAGTCGATGCGCCCGAACCGGTCGAGCGTCTGATCAATGACCCGGTTGACCGAGGCGTAGTCGCGCACGTCGCATAGAGTGCCGAAGGCGTTCTCTGCTTGCGGGTGGTGCAGGTGCGCCGCAGCCATCTGCTCCCGCGTGGACTCGAAGATGCGGCCTACGATGGTGACGAAGTCGCCGTGGTTGAGGCAGCTCTTGACCAGGGAACGGCCAATTTGGCCGGTGCCGCCGAAGACCTGCGGTAGGTGTGTGTCAGTCAAATGAGGGGTTTTGAGGTATGGGAGGTAATGAGGCTTCTTACGATCCAAACTAGGGGCTTCCGTGGTACGCCAGGCTGTGGTGGATCGCAACTCGCTGGGAGTGCGACCTTCCCCTTTTTACTAGGAGTCTCACTCCCGGTCATGCTTGGAGTTCCTTGTTCCATGGGGAGGTTGTGATGAAGGGCGGTGGTTTGAACTCGATGTACTCTGAAGCGCCAGAAGGCTCAAGTCAAGATTCCTATTGAAGCTCAGTGATAACAACTGGCGATGCCGGCGGTGCAATGTGCGATACGCAGACGCCCGCTTTATTGAATCTCATGTCATTGTCACGACCAGTGGGAATAGCAATGATCTAATGACCGAGTCAAGGCCTGAGGTGTCGTGGACGAAGCTTGATTGAAGAAAGACGTGATACGGCGATGAAAACAAGGTGTGTTATGAAGTCCCGAAGGAGCATCAGCCCTGACATGTTCACGAGATTGGATTTCACAGGATACATGAAGTTGTTAGTCAGACCCCAGTAGTTGCATTTCTCCCTTTCTATCCCGATACAAGCATTCGCCCGCCTTAAGTGATCTCTACATTCGCTTCCTATCAATGCATGGTTATGTAAGTGTACGAATAATCCGTTTATGGTAACTTGATCGATTTTATCAAACGTGTGTTTTCCACGATGTTTTTCAAGCATATTTCTTTTGTTGAAGTAACATTAAATCTTTCTATTAAGATAATTACCGGTACCGTCAGCAGCTGCACTGACAATGGCTCTTCTGGATGCTCCGCAAGGACCATAAGTCGTCACCAAGAACACGTCCCTGGCAGCAGCACATGCAACAACCCTGTACAACATCAATGTTTACTACCCCTGAACTGGAAATCCGGGCGGTCGTGGTAAAGCCGAGCCGGGTGATCAAGTGCCGAATCGTTGTATCGGGGGGCGATGGCGCAATTTTCGTACAGCATCTCACCAAAGAAAAACCCCTCCATACGTCACCCGCTTTTGTGGTAAAACATGGGCATGGTATGATACAACCCGGCCACAACCGAAAATTTGTCTGTGGCAGCGTAAAATCTGGTCCAAATAAAAAAAAAGGCCTTCATCTGAAGTGTTCGCGAGATTAGGGAATGAACTCTATATAGTCTATACACGTCATCACACTTGAACCATCATCCCTGAACCATCTCCAACCTCTTGTTTCCACCTAACTTGCTGGCCCCACAATTCATCGCAACGACACCTACCAAAACCCCGCGGCGTCGTCTCATTGATACCTCTACCCCGTTCCAGAAGCAGACAACTATCAAACAGTAAAATAGCCCAAAATGAAGGCCTACTTCTACGACAACCTTCCTGTAAGCTACCTCGACACATGATTCAACGTGACGCACTTCCCTGTTTGCCTGCGTGTCTACATGGGTTCCCGTCATAGAAAATCTTCCATTCCTTCCCCAGGCCCAACATCCATCACCCGTCACTAACCACGTACTAATTACAAAAATCAGGGTGATCAACGCCTCCCCCACGACTCCGGCAAGGAAGTGACGGTCGCGGAGCTTGAAAAGGTCGGCGTCCTTTACTTCCGGTTCCCGGATGTCGAGGGCGTAAACACCCTGGCGGCGGAGCGCGGCTACAAGAACCGGGACGAGATCATCGTCTCGCCCGAGAAGATGGGGGCCATCTACGAGACGAAGGTGCGCCAGTTCTTCGACGAGCACCTGCACGAGGACGAGGAGATTCGGTACATTCGCGATGGTGCCGGGTACTTTGACGTGCGCAACGAGGGCGACGAGTGGATTCGCATCAAGCTTGTCAAGGATGATTTGATCATCCTGCCTGCAGGCATTTATCATAGGTTTACTACTGATGATACCAACGTATGTTTATCCCTATTCCTGTTTCGGTGGAATTGGCATCAAATTTTTGGAGATGGAGAACTGACATACCCTTTACTGTGTAAAAGTATATCCAGGCTATGCGTCTGTTCAAGGAAGAGCCCAAGTGGACGCCTCTGAACCGCACCGAGGGGCTTGATGAGAACCCCTACCGCCAGGAGTATGTCACTCAATTCCTGAAGGCCCAAGCTGAACAGGCATAGGAGCAGCCAAAAGGGATGGGACATAGCCTTTATAGCCATCAAAATTTGAAATTAAAGCACAAAACAATACGTTAGCCGAGGTCGCTTCTTTGCGTTAAGCGCCATATATCTATACCCAAATGCATGCGAAATATCGATAACACCTATCAACCAAAGCTTGGTGTGCGACCATTCAGCTGTTTCCTTTTTTGCCATAGCGACCTGGCCGCTACCTAAGCTTGTGGTAATCGGGCCTTCTGGCATAGCTGGTTTGACGTAGACCTGGTTTTGCTCTTCCTGTCATATGTCATGGTGTTGTCCTGAACGAAACCGCAAGACCGCATGCACAAAGTTCGCTGCTTTTGTGCCGTAGTGAATGAGTGTCTTGTGTCAACTGATCCCGAATTCCCTAAAAACGCCTGGTATCCTCCTTTTAAAACAGAAATATCAGCAAATTAGCATGACCTAACCTGTCATGCAGTTGTAGCCCGTGGTCCTGACTAGGATTGTACAACCGGCTTCCCATTCCCCAATTCATACGCCTTAGCGGACCTCGGGTGGCGCAACTTCGGGAGCGCCAGCGACTGCAATCTCGTTGTTGATACCATCCGTGGTCTCCTCGCGTGGCCGGCCCTCTTTGAGATCGTTGTTAGCATATTATACATCAGCGCAGCAAAGGAAGCCTACATACCAAAAATACGACGCCACCACATGGGCGCGTCAAGGGGTCTTGAACCGCCGTGAAGAGGAGGATACACGTCGGTGAAAAAGTACCAAATATGGCCAATGACCATGCCCATCAACTCATCCTTAGGAATTGTGCCATGAAGGGTCAAGCTAAAAGCCATGAGTACCCATGGCAAGTAGGGTGCGCTAAACACCAGTAACCCAAGGAAGCTTAACCGGGTATCCGGGTTACGGCGAGACCATATGTAAACCAGCGTCGACGAAAGCGGATGGCCAAGAAATGGCATGGAAACGAGCGGCGACAGGATCAGGAGGAACACCATGGCGTACAGTAACAGCCATGAGAAGTGGGCGGGTGATCGGCCTGCCGATTCTTCGAGTAATCGAGAGTAGCGTTGCAGGAAGTAGACGTGGAAGAGAAGGTCGAGGGAGAAGGGCCCGAAGTAGAGGAAGGTGGTGAGTAGTCGCCAGTACTGAGAAGGAAGACAAACAGCAGCCATGTCAGCGAATTATTTCTCTCGTAGAAATATGAACATGTACACGACGAACCTGTGACTTAACAAAGACGGCGCGGTAGCTATAGAAGAGCTGGAAGGGAGTTATAAGCTCGCACTGGACCAAGCCACTCATGAGCATCGTTGCCGTCGTCCACCACCTTGTACAGATGGGCATCTCCCAGAACCACGTCTCAAGCGGGAAGCGCCCGGCATCGCCGCCACCACCACCGATCATCTGGTCCATGGTGATATGTTTGTAGAGCAAACGACTGCGCAGTTGGTGTTGATTCGTTATCGGATGCTTGGCGGGTCCTGTCTGCCGGGCGATAGCGGCGTCGCTAACACGGATGGTATGAATTGGGCACCGTCTCCAATCTGGTGCAGGTTCAACGACGACGATGCTTGGATTCGGATTGGAACGAGGAACAATCTCTTGACGGAATACGTTTGACCTAACTATGTGATAACGCCTACCCCGAGGAAAAAGAGCGTGGGAGGTTACGTTGACGAATGACTAGATGCCGCGGTGTTGATGATGTCGTGTCCTCTACAAGGTTTCCAATAGGTGCACAGTTTACAAGTTGGTTAGGTAGGTAGTCTCAAGACGGGAAGCAAGGAAGACGGGGCCACGGGCTGGCGGGTTCGCTAGCGGAACTATGGGGAAAGGCGGCTGCAGCTGCAAGTGTGGCAGTGGAAAGCGCTGAGGTGCCGTGACCACTGGAAGCGCTGTGCGTCGAACTTTGCCCTGACAGGGGCGAATGACATGGATGCCCAGATATGATACTATCCGTAGTATGCCTTTATGCATATATAGGTACCTCTATGTTTGGACGTTGACAAACTGCTTGGGCTGGACCCCACATTTCCCCGCTGCCATTGATTGATTCAAACCCCTGCGTGTCCCTGCCCGCTGAGGTACCTCTAGCGGACTCCCATTCCTCGAGCTCCATTATGGAACCCCACAAAATTCACTGTGACCGAGCGGCGCGCCCAGTCGCGATCAAAAAGAAGCGTAGGTAGACGCGTCAAGGTTCCCCATTCCAGCGAGTCGACGTTAAACCCAACCACTCCCCTTGTGTACAAACACCGTGGATAGTAATTGTGTGAGTTGGCCATTGCCGGCTTTGTTCATTCACCTTCTGAGCCACTACATATTGGGCAATTTCGAATCTTCTTTGTCCTCTTTCTTGCCTTTCGATCCTGACTGCGACAACCCCGAATTGCTCATCCTTGCTGCCTTGCACCGCCGGCGCATCCACTCTAGCTCCCGACGTAAACAACAACAACACCGACCCAGCTCTCCGGTCTTTTGTCAATTGCGATCACCTAGCTTCAGCTTCCGCTACCTCCACTTCACTACATTCAAAAACGACTTATCGATAAACAACGGCCTCAAGCCTCGCCATCCGAGTGCGTCACTAGCGAACCAACCACCTATCAATACATTCACCATCATCGATAAACAACAATGCCACCAAAGAGGGGAGGAGTAGCAAAGTCAAAGGCGGTGTCTAAGAAAGCCGCGGCGGTGCCGACGCCCAAGGCTACTCCCCCGGGAAGAAGGAAGTCGCGCGCCAGCAGTGTTCAGCGTATGTCGTACCACTCCATCCACCTAGTCCCATCTACGGCGGTGCTTTCAGCGCAACATACCCAAGGCGCGGCGCGTACGGATGCGCGCGCACGCGCGGAGAGTATCCATTGGATACAACCGAAGTTAGGATCACACGCAGCTAACAATGACAAACTCAGCCGGCGACCCCGTCCCCCAGGGTAAGAAGAGGCGTTACAGGCCCGGCACGCTTGCGCTCAAGGAGATCCGCAACTACCAAAGGACGACAGATCTCTTGGTTGCTAAGCTTCCCTTTGCGCGATTGGTACGTACTGTTGTTTATGCGTAGTACGCTTTTTTTTACCAGCATGATTTCGTGACTTACCCTTTCTTGTAACCGTAGGTCCGCGAAATAGCCATGCAATTCCGCCCCATGGACGAGGAAATGCGCTGGCAGTCGCAAGCCATCCTGGCCCTGCAAGAGGCCGCCGAGGCCTTTCTCGTCCACCTGTTCGAGGACACCAACCTGTGCGCCATCCACGCCAAGCGCGTCACCATCATGCAGAAGGACATTCAGCTGGCTCGCCGGATACGCGGCGTGTGGGGAGGTGCTGGATGGGTATGAGTGTGATTAGCGCATGGCGGTGCGGCTGATGCAGCAACAGCAGCGGTAGCGGAAGCAGAAGCGCAGTCGAAAGTTGTTGCTACTACTACTACTTATTACTACTGTAATGGACCATAAGGTTTAGCCTGGCATGGTCTGGCTATGCTCAGTTTGGTCCAAGTCAGTTAGATATCCTATCTCGAGCAGCGAGAAGGGAACGGGAGGTGTTGGGGAAGTGGAAGAGATGAGATTGCCAGGGCATGGGTATTCCCAAAAGTTGAAGGCGCGTCGACGTTGGATCGTGTCTTCCCTGCTCGGTTGGGTTGTAGGAAGGGAGAGGACACGGGATTGTGATATGTCCCGTGACTCCGCCTGCAGAAAATCCCATCGCCAGTACGACGGCAGAAAGAACGATGAACGGACGGCAGCCAAGAATCTGCGCGCACTTGGATGACTTTAGCTGGCTCAAACAGCTTTAGCGTGGGGGCCAAAGAGAGAGGGGGGGGAGGGGGTCAAACGCATAATCTGATTGGAAAGAAGGGCCATGAGTGCGAAAGGGAAATCTGGCCACTCTCTGGCATGCCAGGTCGGAGAAAGTCTCGATGTGTTTTTTCGGGACGGTCAATGGTGGTCAAAACGCGACAATTCCAGTCAGTGGTTGGCGGAAAGTGGCGCGGCTCGGCTCGGCATTGATCTCAAGTATGTGTGTGGGTGTGCTGGTTTGATCTTTGGGTCGGCAGGCAGGCGGCGGCGTTTCAATGGCATCCCGTGGGGAAGAAGATTATCACCTGATTGATTTTGCGTTAAAGGAAAAGCGGCGTTAAATAGTGTGTTTTCAGAGACAAGAATGAGTATCTATACGTTTCCGCATCATTGTCGAATCTATTTTGACATGCGGCTGAACCAATGTGTATCCGGATTTTATCTCTTGGAAAAGGAAAAGAAAAAAAGAACAAACCAGAAAAGGATATGGGTTGCCCATACTAAGCACAGATTGGGTAGACAGACAGCGTCCTCTGTACACCAACGGTTATACACAAAGCTTCTGTATATACCATCAAGAAAAGGGAAAAAGGGGGAAAAAAAAAAAGGGGGGGGGGCCGGCTGTTGATGACCTGGTAGTCTATGTGTTTAATTTCCTGTTGGACACTCGACACAACCTATAGTTTTACCCAGTAACTGATCCAATTTTCAATAATCATAACCATATGTTTAGCTAATGCCAGCATGATGCGTGTGCTGGGTGTCCGCAGTTCCGCTCGCTCGAATTCTCTGCTGAAAAGCAATAACAAGTAGACATACACATATGACCATCAACACCTCTGAAGGTACTCCTTAAACCCTCTCAAAGCGCAACCAACCTCTACACTCTGTACCTTCTATAACGCCCTTTTTCCCTTTTCCTTTCTGTTCTTCTTCTTCTTCTTCTTCTTCTTCTTCTTCTTCTTCTTCTTCTTCTTCTTCTTCTTCTTCTTCTTCTTCTTCTTCTTCTTCTTCTTCTTCTTCTTCTTCTTCTTCTTCTTCTTCTTCTTCTTCTTTTTTCTTTCTTTTTTTTCCCTTCTTTCTTGTTTGGTATGTTCTGTTGAATAGATTGACACGAGGAAAGATTATACAACCCCCGACGAAGAGAAACAAAAGACCGGGTTGAATCAACCTCCAACTCCTCTCATGTGCCCATGCCCTATCGGTATTCCGTTCCTATCCACCATGTACATAGCACCAGCATGGCCACCGTGGCTGGGATGACCATGGCCTTGCCTCAGTTGATCAATGCTATGCATCAACTGTTCCTTTTCCCTCTCAAGAGTATCCCGTTCCTTCTCCAACGATAATATGTACCGCCTCGACATATCCAACACCTCGGCCTTGCTCAGACGCCGTTCAATACTAAAGTCAAGCGAAGGGTGTTGGCCCGGTATAACGCTACCAACACCATTGCCGTTGACGCCGTTCGGGTCCCCGCCACCGCCGCCGATCATGGTCATCGATGAGCGCACTGAGTCCGGGAGCACAGCCAGGAGCCTCTCAAACTGGGCATTGAGTCGGTTGCGGTACTGCTTTTCCACCAAATTATGCGAGTTGCGCGACTTTCGCTCTTCCGGCGTCTCTTCCGGTCGCGGTTGGATGTTCTTGGGAGCCCGTGAGGCGCTTCGCAGTTTTCCTTTGTTCTTGCTCAAGGCGGCAGTCGCAGACGCGGTCCCTTTCGCGGCCTTAGCAGCACCTCCTGGTACTGCTGGCACTGCTGCGGCTGCGTTGAACGGTGACCCGCAAGATATCGGTGTCATGATTTGGCCAAAGGCCTTCTTTTCGCCGGTATTCCACGGACCGTCCTCGCTCTTGTTGCATCCTTCCATTGACGCGGTAGTAGTTTGGACCCATCGATGTTGCTGCTGCTGCTGCTGCTGCTGCTGCTGCTGATTGGCTCTCTCATCAATGTTTGCATAAGTGACGCCGTCCGAGTGATCCGAAAATCCAGTGTCGGATGGCGCGCTGATGGATTCGAATGTTCTCGCAGTCGGTGATGCTATAGCTCTTTGGGAAGGCGTGTTCGATCCAACGCTGTTAGGCGGGTGACCGTTCGGCCACAAGAACCCAAACCCGGGCTGTATTGGACTCTGGACAACAGGTGGCGATCCGTAAGTGCTACCGTCACCGAGGCAAGAACCCGAAATATCATGCGAAGGCGCAAATTCGTAGGGTGTCAAAGCCGGAGGTGCTGGAACCGCCGTGTGTTCGCGGTTGTACAGAGCGGCGGCGCTCGTGGATGGTAGTTGTTGTTGCTCCCACCCAGCCCCTTGCTGATAGTAAGGAGGCTGCGTGGGATTCTCAGGAGTCGGAACGTGATATGACGCTGTCGTTACAGGAAAACTTGGAGAAGTTGCAAGCGTGGTTTGCCGGGCTGAAGAGGCGAAGTTCGGATAGGGTAAGCTCGGCCCGCTCCGCTGGTGTGTGGTATGGATTGAAGTGGTTTGATTTTCGGAGTAAGTGGCGTGTTCGGGTATGCCAAGACTTTTCGGACCGCTGCCGAGACTGAAGGCTGAGGGTACTTCGGTCATCATCTCCTGAAAATGCATTGTGATATGTCAGTTATACTGCGATGGTCGGATTTGCTTGCTTGCGAGGCGTATAAAGGCATGCGTAGAGTCCCGGCCCTCCATCTCACGTTATCTCTACCAACCTCATGACTGCTTTCTCCCTTTTCGTCTATCTGTATGACCCCGACAACGAGATCTCCTGAAAGCTGTCTCCTGTCTCCCAGTTCACAATGCTCTCCTGATCGACCATGTTATGACCGGCAACTATGCCATATACGCACCGAAGTCTTAGGGATCAATGAGGACATTTTGCTCACTCGAACTGTTGGGTTTCAAGTCATCCAGTCATCCACATAAGCAGCCTTGGCTGTGGAGTCTGACTTGCTCGAGTTTCTTGACCTGTAGAGCCTGCACGACACAGTCGTCTCCAGCCACTTGGGTGTTTGAGGGAGGGCAATGCTGATTCTCTGACTGTCCCTCCGCTCACCCAGCAGGTCCAGCCCTCAAATCGCTAAGCAGGGTACAGAAATGGTTGACTTCCGGGTGAAAGGCTCGGTTTAGATCGGAAAGAGGCGAGTAAGACAATAAAAGTTTGCGTACCTCATATGTTCCGGCGCCGTAGTTGTCGAAACCCGGTTGATCGCCATAAGTTCGTGCCATCCTTTGAAGCGGTTGTGTCCCAGGTTATGCGCAGCGGAAACCCAAACACGCAAAGCCGGGAAATATGAAGTTTTCGGTGAAATATGGCGTGGTCCACAAGCAATTGGACTCTTGACTCTTCGCTAAAGGTCACTATATACTTCCATGGATAGATGACGACCAGGCTAAGATCGGCTCTTCCATTCGCTGTCAACATTCAGGTGGTACTCAGACCGCCGACGCCTCGCTCAGCACAAATTACCTAAGTAATTCACTCCGTTCGGGATCAAGGGATCTCACACGTTTCTCGCCTATCCAGTCCAGCCCTAATATGCGGAAGTGAGACTCAGACGGCTTTGGGAAGTTGTGCTTGCCGTATGCCCAATGCCCGTGGTAGATCGAGCTTGTTCGAGATTAGTCTTGTTTGCGCTGGCCGTTGTTCTGTCGTCCAAACTAAGTTCCGGCTACCCTTAAGAAGCTGGTAGAAGCACAAGAACGGGGCAATGCTTGTTGAGAAGGATGAATGGTGGTGGAGTGAGCGCCTATGGCTTTCAGGTCTCCCCACCTGGTAGTCAGTAACTTGGGCTAAACCTAAACGAGTGTGCCGTTCAGATGTACCATGTATGTATAGGGGGCGGGACGGAGGGGATTACCTGATCTCCCGAGTTGCAGGTCAAGTGGCTGACAGACCCTCGTAGGAATACCACGTACGCAGTAGTACTTGCGAAGATATGAGCGGAGGTTATGGCAGCCACTGGCTTAGTGGTTACCTGCTCGGACCGAGCCGCTGGGCCTTTCCTTATTATATGGACACTCTCCTACTTTCTGTGCAGTGCCGCCCGTCCTCGATCCTGTTACATTTTTATCGTCCCTTCTTGACACTTTGGTTTTCAAAGGGCCATGGTTGATCCGGCTGCGGAGTGACTGTAGCCGCGGCAGCCGAGTATATAGCACCGCGTTACTCGACATGGCCGGTTGGCACGCTCGAGTGTCCAGTATGTTGCACCTATACTTGAAGCCACGTCCGCCACCATTCGCCGTCCTTACCTTACCGTGGACAATGGACGGTAGGAAGTGTGCACACCCACACAGCCGAGCAAACTTTTGACGACGATGTGAAATCACCCCTGAGGTACTGAACCCCAGGCGCCGTTGCTCTGCCAGGGTAGTTGAGGGTCGCTGACCCTGGTCGGGCCTGGTAGAGACCGGACGATGTCTCCTAGCTTATGCCTTCTGCATCTGGAAAGAAATTCGGGCGGAGAGAGCAACGATGGGATCCATCATTTTCGAGAGGCAAGATCTCATTGCAAGAATGGCAGATGATGAGTGAGTGACTGATGAAAATCGCAATTCCGATGCCGAGTTCGTCGTTTTACCGCCCGTTTCTGCTATGACGAACAAGACTATTGCAGAATCCATATAGCAAATTAGTTTGATCCATGAAATGCCAGGCTGTACCACAGCCGTCGTGACACGTCGGTGGGCAATGCTCGTCAAGAATCTTCAAGGGTATGGTGACCAAGGGTGACTGTACAGGCCAAATTGTACTGTGACATCTGTACAGAGTACTCGGGAGTAGTAACCGTCAAATACATAGGCTGCAGGGTGCGATTCATGTTGCAGCCCTAAAGCAGTCCTACATTCGACTGCTAAGACCGGGGAGATTATCAGGTTGTCTTGCAGGACGTCCCTCAGCACTGAGGCACTTGCAGAGATCCATAGTCCCATCGGCTCAACGGGCCAGCAATGGTAGCACCGTCACCACCAAAATAGGCCAGGGACTGGAGAAGCCCCATTGCGGTTTCCAGAATCAAGAAATCGGCGAATCAGAAGAATGCAATGCTGCGGTTGATCGCGCTACGGGTGTACACTGGGAGCGACTAGAGTGGTCCCGTGTTGAACGAATAAGCTGCTATGCAGAACACGCCGATGGAGTTGGCTGGATTTTTTTTAGACCCCGGCAGACCGTCTGCTCCATCGTCTCCCCTTTGGATGGTCGCCTTGGGTGTGGCCAGTCTTTCTGTCTCCTGTCTCCGGTGGGGAAGGGCTCCAGACCAAAATCGGAAGAGGCCGGGGTTGACGAAGCCGCGCGCATTGTGGAGGCACTCGCATGGCATCCGGCTTCCGGTCGCGTGTTTGCTGAAACTTGAGGCAGCAAAAGCAACGGCAGACTGGGACGTCCGAGGCAGATGCGCAGACGGGCTGCTGGACAGGCTGGTTAACAGACAGAGCATATCGTACTGAGGTGGATAATGATCAAATGCTGGTTTGACAGCTCTGGTCGTCGCCATGATAAGACGACGGTAATATAGGGCGGACAGTATGGGGAAGGAAGCCCTTGGCCTGCTTGGGTACCTAACCCTTGGGATTCAGCCCTCGATCTTGGTAGCGCAGAGTGCTAAGACAGGTGAGACAGGCCTTGAGGTGACAGGCCTTGACAGGCATCGCGCGGAAAGCGGAAGCTGGGCAGGGATTGAAACAGAGCCGCACGTGATATTTGCGGTCCAGAGGTGACGCCATCCCAATGAATGCCGACGTAAAATGGAATCGGTAGGTAGGCAACGAAGAAGAATGTGCGCCAGGTCTTGTGTTGTTTCCATGCCAAAAATATTGGAAGATGTGAGGTGATTTTTTATGGGCGAGCAGCGGCAGATACGACCTTGGATGAAGTTGGCTCGATACCTCGACACACAAACTAGAGGAGGCAGCAGCCCGGGACATACCGTGACCTGGTCCAGAGTTCAGGAGGCCACGTAGAGGTGCCTCCACTGTCTTATGCACCAGACCGGTTCGACCGAGCAAGTCCCGGTTTGCGGAAGACTTCATGATTTCCGTTGCCTTTGACCCAGCCGTGACTTCCATGACAGCAACACAATCGGAGTCGGATTGGTCGTTGTACGGGATGTGTTTGTTCGTAAAATGGAAGAGAAGAGAGTATGGCCTGATTGCAGTTTGGTTCGAGAGTCGGAGGGCAGGAGGATGGTATCCGGGTGCAGACCGACTAGACCTACAGTCGACTAGAATAGTGTACTAGCTACCTATGTCCTGCTGAATGGATGGATGCTGGGCGTTTCGTCCCCGCAAAATGACTGGCGAGTACGATTGGATGGAGATCCCCGCCCAACTATGTAGGCTTTCAGGTTGTATGGACTATTCTAAACAGTACATAGTAGCCCAGATGATGACCCCAATGGGACAGATGAATAAGGACGGCTTTTCGCTGTTTCTCTCTCTCCGCTTTGGACTTGCTGCTGCTGTGCCGGCTGTGGTCGGGTACTGTGTCCTCTTTCGCCCACAAACAAGTTCTTCTCGTAGTGTAGAACAACGAACCGAAGTCACATGAGTGCAGCTTGTGTGGTTGTCGCAGGCGCCTTTCATCATGATCTGCGCCGCCATTCAATTTTGCGGTCCTCGATTCCTTGGGATCGTACATACAGCCCAGGTGGGGCTATTGGGGAATTTTTGAGATGTCGAGTGAACAATTGAGAGCCCTGTTCGTCGGAGGAGCGCAGACATGGGGAAGCGGAAGGACAGCCTTTGTTTGTCGGGACGTCAAATACAACTGACGGGAGTGAGGGGACACCTCAGGAACTGTTGTTCCAAGCAACAGCCCGCGGGCAACGCCGGCCACATCTGTCCTCCAAGCCGAACAAGCGAAGATAGATTGACCAACTAGATGAGGCAGGAGTCCGAAAGACGGGAGTTTCCCCAGTCGCCGTTTTATCTGGCAACGACGCCTCAACCTGGAAGGCGGGCCCTGAAGCTTAGATCACCCATCTACCACGGCCGAATTATCATGTAGCAGAACTTGACACTTTCATCATTCCCCAGCCATGAGGAGACGCTCTTTGTCCAAGTCCCTTGACATGAGCTGCAGTGTATTGACGTCTCTTGCTATCTTTTTGATCATCCAATTTGCTCGCGTTCCACAAGCGGTATCCTCAGGGCCTCGAATCGACTTGCGGGCGGCTGGGGCTATCAGCTAAAGACGATAAGGACTTTTTGCTTCGACATTTGGCCCTTCGAGTTGACCAAGCTGCGGCTCCAGCGACCTGAAGGCGATATGTGTGTTTCCTCGACACGAACGGGTTCCCCAACTGCAAATACTCTCAAGTCTCTTGGAGTAAGTGCCGTTTCCTGTCAGCCCGAGATTAAAGCAGCCGGAGGTGATACATGCGGTGCTAATGGTTCCTCGTGGTACAGCTGTAAACACGAGTCGCACCTGAGTTCGAGATCAAAATGGCCCTTTACCACAGCAATTGCCAACGCCGAATCGAACTCGAGAAATTGAACCAGACACAAAGGTGCCTCGCCCTCGGGCCAACTCCTCAGGTGCCCGCCGTGCTCTTTCTGATGCTGCCGCCAAGCGGAGGGTCCACGTTCATGTCAGACGACACGACCCAACTCGATGTGCATTAGACGAATGCGGCTACCTGCCTAAAAGAAGCATTAGAAAAGTTGCGCCGATACTCGAAACGGAGCACGTCCGCGTCACGGTGCTGTGCTTGACTTTCCGTATCCCCGATGGGCTTGTTCCTGTACTGGCGCGCTGCGTCTCTGCTGGGCACTAGAGCCCTTCGCTCGCATGCAATACGACCTCGACGGCGGCTCTGGCAGATTGCTTTAGCATCCCTATTCGTCCACGGCAACCGAGCTCGGCGAAAGTTCATGTGATGGAAGGCGCACACGGAAGGGTTATCGTTGGAATAACGTGATTTTCTGCCAGGCTTCAAAACAATAGTGGGGTGCTTCTGGAAAGTGCAAAGGTAGCCCTGATCTTCCAATGTCGTGCATTTCCACCTGGTGCCATGGCGTTCCCGTTTGGCACATTCGGTCGCTCGGCTCCGCTCGCGCCGAACCTCAAAGCTTGAGCTTGACTGCTTCTGCACCAAAGCATGGGCCCCCAACCTTTAATCTTGAGGGACTAGTACTATATCGTCGCATCAACTTGGAGAGATATAAAGTCTGTAGAGGAAGCGGACTATGGCATTACCTGAATCCGGTCCAACATGGGCGATTTCAACCGATCAGTGTTTGCCAGTGCAAGCAGAAAGTGACTGATGTGCTTTTTCCTGGGCTCTTTTTTGGTGGGAATGGACAGGTCCTGCTGGTTATAATCTACTGTCGCACCACCGCGAAGTCTATCCCGGATCAGGACTTGTTGGGTCCAGTCCAGACAGGTGGCAGAAAATTTGGCGAAATCAAGTGACAAAGTCGCACAGAGGCAAGATATCCGCCGACACGGTTATCTGAACAGAGGTCATGGATGTCCGTTTTCCTGAACGGCAGACCTTTTCTGGTTTGAATAGGACATTAGGGTACAATAGAAACTAGGACTGTGTATTATCGGGGTGGTGGGAGGGGTTTCCATGAAGATATCACTGTCTGACAGAAAGTCGAATCCATGTAGAACGCGCTTGCGCTTGTTATTAACGCAAAGACTACAGTATCACCACTTTGTTGCTTGAGGTTCGGACGAACTTTCCGATCGGATCACCGCGGCCGCTATACACAGTAGACCAGAAAAAAAAAGGCAAAACAATCTGCGAATCAGAATTCACGGACCTCTTTCAGTGTCCTGTGATACGTACATCCGAATTGCTGGACTCTCGATGCCTCTACCAATCCCCAATAATGTCTACAACATTTGGGAACAAGCGAAGATGTACCTGTAGTCAAGCAAACCACCCAAGTTCAACCATATTGTCCTAAACCTACCGATCTGCTATTAAAGTAAAGTAAAGCCTAGCACATAATCAAAGAATTGCCCCGGTACAAGCTCAACTGGCAAGATTTGCATCTCAAAACTTCCCTAAAATCTTACGAGTACATATGAACGAGACACATTAGCCAGTAAAGGGTTCTTAAATATACAGGTAGGTAGGTACCTGGTGGTTATAATACATGCTACATGCGACATCTACTCTTCTATTGACACAGGATCTTTGACAAATGGCTTGATGTAAAGACTTCTCCGCATATATATCCCCCTCCCCTTCCTCCCCCTTCCCCAGCTCTCCCCACTTTTCATAACGGTCATAACTTCGTAAATGTCTGAATCGGAGACGGGGGGAAAAAAATAAAGGAAAATTTGTGTGGTGGTGGTGTAGATGGTGTGGTGTGAGTGAGTGTGTTGTCGAAACTGTGGTGAAGTGATTGGATAGTCGGTCGGTGTTGATGACGTGTGTTGTGAAGTCGAGTGATTGTTGAGTTTCAGTGAGGGATTTGAAGTGTGTAAAAGGGCAAGAGTAATCGGAAACTTTTGGTATTCCCCCTTCCGTCTGCCTTTCATTCTTCTTTCTTTCGTTCCTTCCTCCATTTTCCCCCGCCCCGCACACTGCCCCTTTCTGGGACCGATTTGAGTGACTGACTGGTAACTGCATATAGAAAACAGTAGGATGGACAAGAACAAGGTATGAAATCAAGAAAAAAAAAAGAAGAAAAAAAGCGCGGTGCTTGCTCCCTGCCTGTTTGCCTCCAGATTCCCAGGGTCTATTTCTACGGAAAAGGAAAGAACGATGAACGATGCTGATGATGCTCAATGACGATGACGACGGTTGGTAGGTAATAAGGAAAATACGCCGGCCACTCCTCCTCTTCCGAGGAAGAAGATTGGCTGGTTGTTGGAAAGGATGAAATCGCGCGATCACCGCGTATGCTTTGTTTCAAGCAAGACAATTCGGTGCGCCGGGATGTTGATGGTAGTAATGGTAGTGATGGCAGTGTTGGTGCTTGGTAAGGACTGTTTTGCCAAACTTGGCTTTGATCATTGTCCTATCTCCTTTTCTGGCTGAACGGAACTAGATCTGAGGTCCCGTCAACTTCACATTGGGAAATAGCGAAAACTGGTTCGGGGGCGGTGGCGTGCTGAGACTAGTTGTCCTTGCGCGGCCTCTGCCTGGCCTCTGCAGCCCCAGCATCGAATCCTTTCGCTTCGAGCCTGTTACTGGTGCTTCAGCACTATCCTGAGCCAATCCGACAAGGTTAGGAAAACTCTCGCCCCGGCGGAGGGACTCGTCAGAGATCTCCTCAAACTCGGGCACAGGAGGCATGGCGGCGCCCTTGGCGCTGACGCTCTCAGATCGGACGTGGTTGTTGCCGTTCGGAAACTCGCAAATGGGCGACTCGTAATTGCAGTTCTCCATATCCACGAGCGAATTAGTGCTCAGCGTCAACCTTGTAAAGTCAGTCGAGATGGAAGCCGTCGAGACGTGTCGGCCCGAATTGATGCTCTCGAGCGTGGCAGTTGTCGAAGCAGAGGCACGATGCGGATTGTACTTTAACGACGAGATGCCGGGCTCGCAGAAGGTGTGGGTGGCAAAAGGGTATTCGCCGCGGCAGTCGCTGAAGTCTCCTTCAGCTCCGGCCCCTGAGACTTCGTCGAGGGAGTCCAAGCGCATCTGTCGCTGAAAATCGGTGGGGATCAGCAGCGAGGGGGAGAGGGTAAAGCCGTGCGATTCCTTGAAGCTGGAGGCGTCCGAGGGCTTGCGCGCGTGCAGCTCGGGGGTTTTAAGCCGTTCGGAAGAGGCGGAGCGGATAGGAGCTTCGATCCGCGGGAGAGAGAAGTTGGAGGTTTTGTGGCTGTGGGTGAAGGTGGGCGGGGGGCCGGCCGTCATTCCTGTTGGTGTGATGGCTTCGTGTGCTGTAGTGGCCGAGTTGAGGCTGACTGGGCTTAGGGAGGGGATGTCCAGCTGGGCCGGAGTGAGCATGGAAGCACTGGGGTCGCATGACAGCTTCTTGCGGTGGTAAGGGTACTCCATGGGCGCTGTGCTTCCAAAGTCCCGGCTGATGTCCAGCGATGGGCGGTCCCATTCGTAGTCACAGTCCGCCTCGGCGGCGTGTTCGTAGCAGTAATCGATGTCGTCCTCCCAGCTCTCCCGCGAAAGCGAAGGATCGCCTCCGATGATCTCATCTAGGGCGGACACTAGCGCTCGCTGGGCGTCCGCTAGGGCGCATGGTCTGAAGCTATCGCTGGGTTCACGGTTGTGGTGATCATAGCCCTGTCGTGGAGAGAAAGCCCGGAGCATCGGGACCGACTGGCTGGCACGGAGCGACGAGTTGCTGATGACGCTAGCGCGGGATGGCTTCACGATGGAAGAGTCCTCCTCGAGCACATTTGCTAGCGGGACGGCATCAAACGCGGGATTCGCCGGGGCGGGCAACGGCCAGTTGAGGTCATTGTCAGGAACACTCGTCATGCGGGTGTGTCCGTGGGATGTCACCGGAGGAGTGGGACTTTCTGTGTCGAGAGCAAGTGGTTGGGCCTGACGGAATCCGGTACTTGTCTGCGGCCGGCCCAAGGTGAATGGGTCGAGGCCATCTGCCGGTGTGGAAATGCGGCTGGACACTCGTGGCGGGATGCCGGGAACGGGGGGAACTGGAATGGACTCCTCAATCGGAGACCTGGGAGGACGGGGAGGCGCAATGCTCATCGAATCCTGCGACTTTGCGTGCTTGATGAGCCGTCGAGGTGATGTCTGCTTGGCGGACATGGAAGGAGGGCGGTGCGAGGGTGGCAGATCAACATCAGCAAGGGGAAGCGAGTCGGATGAGAAGTCGGAGAAGTGCAGGTCATCGACATTGCTGCCCTTCTTGGTATGTGCCACATGCTGGAAGTTGTACGGCCCAGAGATCTGAATCTTCCTCTGGCCTACAGAGTCTTCGGCATTCTCAGCCTTGATGGTCCGGCGGCGACTGAAGAAGGCCGGGATGGACGAGTCCCTTGAAGGGGCTGACGTTGGCGCTGGCTGCGAGGTGGGGTGGAGCGGCAGATTGGCATCACTGCCCGTTTCGGCCGAATACAGATTCTGAGAACTGCTCTCACGCTTCAGCCTGCCTCGTCGGTTAAAGAGCGTCTTGCCAAAGATCTGGACGCTCTCGGGGCGGTCCTTGTTCGGCATGGTGTGGCTGTTCGTAGATCGTCCTGAAGATTTTCTCGAAAGACTGAAAGCCCCGTCGGTACTGGGTGAGTCGGTTGAAGTTAAAGAGCGTAGCGAGGAGGAACCTGATGAGGTTGTGTGGTGACTGAGATGCTTGTCTTTCTGGGAGACCTTCTTCATTTGCTTGCTTAGCTGTCGAATGCCCTCTGCTGACGGCGGGCCATTGAGGGATGGCTCCAGAAGCTCGTTGTGGATGTAGTCGGAAGGATCGTAATGTAGCAAGTGGCCGTTGTTTGAAGGAGCGAAAGCCGGTACCGGCAAAGTGGTGGGTGTTGGAGTTGTTGTTATGGATGAAGTTGGTGCAACTCGGTGGTTTGCAGTAGTGACGGAAACTGAAGAGGACTTGGATCTGTTCTCCGACCTGCCTCGTGCACCTTGTTCCGTGTAAACGGGCAGGGAAGAAACGGCCCACAGCTTCATGGTTGCTCGTTGCTATAAAGGGACTGACTGGATGTGGACTGGGTGTGGGCGGTGTCAAGCTGGTGGACTGCAGACTGGGGACAGTGGACAGTGGAGATGGATTTGAACAGGGCCCTGCAGTGTGGACCGTGGATCTCTCTCGCTGTTCCTCTCACTCAGATACCTCTACATATACTTACAGTCGGTGCCCTCGGCCGAAGTGGACACGGGACGGGACGGGGATCGACTTGGCGAGTTTCCAGGCCAAGTCTATATTGTTGTTTGTTATGCTATGTCGCTGTTGTCGGAGCGAGTCTTGTTGAGATGAGATTGACGTGAATTGGATGAGTGAGTGAGTGGGTGAGTGAGATGTTCCAGGGAGTGTCTGTAAGAGAGATAGCTAGCCAACCGAAAGCTCAGCAGGGTCAGAGTCCGAAAGTCAAGGAGGAGCATCAAAGCAAAAGAGAGAGCATTGTCCTCAGGAAAACCTCGCGGGATGCGACGGGCCTGGGTCCATTGTACACAGTAATGCAGGATGATTCCTACCCTAGTCAGTCCCCGTTGCAATGCGTCCGGCCCAGGATGAGGGTTTAGGAAGGGTGCAAAGGGTGAGAGTGGTGAGTGTGTCCATGCTAGGTGCCGTGGTTGATGGTGCTCGTCCCCAATCCATCCAGCGAGGAGGAGTCCCGTCCAGTCCAGGTCCCGCCCGGCCTCCCAAGGATGTGCGTTGATTTCCTGCGGAATCCCTTTGGTCCCTGGGAGTCAGGGGTGACCCTTGACCCACGAAGATTTTGGATGCAGCCGGTGAGGGTCCCCGGACTAGCACCAGGTGTGGAGGGTTCTGTGCTCCTGATTCCGTTTCCGCTGCAGCGTGCTTGGCGTTGAATCCCATGTACTGCTGTTGGTGACGGAGCTGGACGGGTATCGCACCGTATTGTCTGAAATGTTTTCATTCCAAACACAAGACGCAGGAGTGGAAGCATGCAACCTGAAATCCTCAACCACAACGTCCTAAGAGTAGGCAGTTAGGACGCTCTAAAAAGTTTTCTCCTTTGAAACAAACTTGTCGACGAGTGTGTTTGCTTGGTTTTTGCTTATCCAATTACCCGGAGAGAGGGTGTTGCTTGGGAACTCGAACCACTTGCATCCTCACGTCCTTTCCCTTGGTATCGAATCATGTTCGATTTCCTACACAACACCCTGCCAATTGGAAGCGTCGAGACTTGGACGGCCAATGAACCGGCAGCAAACTTTCCATCGTAGAAAAATCATGTGATATCTCCGTGCCCAGGGGATTAAATTCGTTAGATGATCTTGATAGCACCGGACAAGTGACGGATCAGCGCATCAACTTCCGCGCAGAAGATCGGTTTCTTTACATGCCTGGCCCCCAGGCCCCGAGACACCGTGGCTTGAAGTTGTACAGAAGCTCATAGGCCGAGCAAGAGAAAACAAGACCTCGGTGGGGCTTGGAAAGATTGAAATGGGCGGAAACCCATCCCGGTTGAAGGCTGACGGGTTTGCTCAGGGTTGCACGGTACGTGATAGCAATGCCACCGTGCGCTCGGATCAAAAGGGTATATAACATCAACGCACCTGCGGAAGCGAAGGAAGGCCGGCAAAACATCTCAGCTGCATGTTGCTGGGAGCGAAGTGAATCGATGATCCAGAAGAAAAAAAAAAAAGAGAAAAAAAACTCGTCTACCTACCTCTACCTACCTCCACCCTGTCCGCACTAGCTGTGTTTCTTGGCGCTAAGTCCAAAGTCACTTGTCTACGTATAATGCCTTCATTCCAATTTCACGAAGAATTATTGCATCGAACTGATTGAACTAGCAAATCCAACCCGCCCAAAGAGGGCTTTTGTGCCGAATGAGTTCTACAACGAATTAGGGTAGAAAAGTTAAATTGGTGTATATGGGAGAAAGAGGAGGAGCTGGAAAATATCTGGCACTTTGGGTTTTTGCGTGGGCGTGGGAAGGTACACGAGGTTTGTCTTCTGCATAAGCATTTCCTCAGCACGCAGATGCTGCAGTGCTGCATGCGACCGTACATATGTACTGTGTGCACTTACCTGCCATTAGTATCATGCATTTGATGTGTCTGGCTGCCTACAAACCTTTGAAGTGTGTGGGGTGCGGGTTTAAAAAAAGAAATCCAAAAAAAAAAAAAAAATCCTACAGGCCTCTAGGTTTCTTCATGCGATATACAGTATCTGGTTCAAGTGGTACGTGGAAGTGGGTAACGAAAAAGCTGCCTTCGAAAAGCGAGCACTCTCCTGCAAAACATTATGTCGATGCTATTCACAGTGCAGCATCCCAAGTTCTACAGCCCACAGCTCAGTGTCGGATTGGCTCAGCCAACTGCAGTGACGCCGAGGGCAGCAAGTACTTGCAAGCGAGGATTCGTTACTCGCATTGACGGGACCGTGACAAACTGTTGGGTTTTTGAAGGCCGTTCCAGAAAACCATGCCATACAAATCGAAGCTTCGACCCAATTAGCTATATTAAGTCGCTGATATTGCTACCTCGGCGCGGGGAAGCAAGCATGGAAGATCTTCAGTACCATGGCACGAGCGAAGGTGCCACGACTTTAATGATACAGGTACTCACGAAGACTAGCGAAAAGCATGCACTGCTCCGCTGACATGAAAGATTTAGTTGGCCCAGGGAGCTCACTGATGTCCCGTTCGCGGTTGCACGCGGGTAATTAAGGTAATATCGAGGTTAAGTAGTTGTAGTTGGCATCGTCTTGCCTGCATCCAACTTGACCAGAGTTTAGTTTCGTCCCATTATGTCCAGTCATTCTGGCCTCGATGCAAAAGCAAAGGCAACCAGCGTCCCAGTGCCGTCATGAGTAACAACACAGAGTAAAAAGCACCAACGATGCCTAGGTAGACATGATAATGTGTATGCAAGTCGATGATGGTGCCTCGTAAGGTAAGTCCCGATTGAGATTGGCGGCGTTTGACAATTCAACCCTAAGTCGCGGTCTGGTGCGTTAGCTTGAAACACGACCGCGCGGTTTTCCCAAGAGGGCGAGGAGGGATTTTTTGGGGCTCAACTTGACGGCGCCGGTGTTCTGTCGTGTGCCGGTCTTGTCGCCAACCTGAAAGTGTAGAACGTTGCTCGTAAGCTTCCTTCGTGGCTATTGGGCCATAGGACGTTACACTAGTTGAGGGTACTACAGACACTAAGAGTGACGATCCTCTTGTACTATGTAAGCTCGTTACGGAGCTGCATCTCGTGCAGATTGTTAAGATGACGGGATTTCACTGGACTAAATTGCCTCGGGGATACCTACGTAGAGCCTTACCCAATGTTCCTTGCTGCGTCCCTGGCCTTACTGACTTGGCTGCAGGTACAGTGGCTCAAGCCGGGGTGAAGATCTCTCAGCTACACTACACCAGAATAGAAGGGTCAACGCCAATTGAAGTCGAGTCATACATTAGGAGAGCTTCGAAAACGGAAAAAGGAAGAAATGTAAACAATTTTCAATATCCTGAAGTTTATAAAGAAGAAAAATCGTACATAAAAATGATTTCAACTGGCGTGGCGCGACGGGGAATGAAATCATCATCATAAGCACTCGGGTCTGCCGAGGACCTCGATGGCCACCACGCCTATGTGCCCCCCAAGCTTGCCCATCAACACTTGGGTAGGCAATTGGCTCTCCTCTTTTACCCACTCAAGGATTGTCTGTTGTTGATCAAGGTGAGTCAGCAGATCACAGCCTGGAGCTTCGATGGGTGAGGTGAGAGATATACAATCACCGCAGCCGCATGACGTGAGACATGGAGTGGAAACATACTACGCTCTTCGCGACGTCCATGATATGGCCTGGAAGTCACTGACACAGCAATTGTGTGTTGCATCGATGAAGAGTGTAAATGGGGTTTCCTCGGTCATGATGATGGGCTGTCGCAATTTCCCCCACAGTCCAAGCTGTGTGCTACTATGTTTAGTGGGCTTTAGAAACGGTGGATAGTAGGACTGTCCGTTTCTAGGGTCAGACGTCATTGCCCAAAACTCGACGCTGTCTAATGCTCTTCCAGGAAACGAAACAAAATCGAATTGAAAACAACCTCAAGACGTGTATCTATTCGCAGTTCCCTATTTGTTGGTCAGGCGTACTCTATGAAGGCCAATCGCAGCGATCCACGATCCGACACGTAGCTGAACCGTCGACTTGGCCGTTTGACCGTTGAGTTCCATACAGCGAGGCAGTCGTGAAAAGGCTCTTCAACAAGTTGGGTGACAAATCCTTACTCGCCTATTCAAAGGCTCGGCCTGATTTCATTGCTTGCGGAAAGACGCCGCTCATCCCCGCTGCCCGTCGGCGTCGCCCGTGGATGCTGGAAATGGAATGGACTTGAACGCAGGATCGGGCTGTTTGCAATAGAAGGAAGGTCTACCTGCAGGAAATGGAGAGAAAAGTTGGCGCGACTTCCATTCTCAGCTAACCAGCCCGGTTTGGTATTAGCGGATGGCTCCTTATTTGCTTACCATGGTCAGAACCCAAGCTACTTTGTTGCTAGTGCATCTGCCTTGGGACTGAATTAGGAAAGCAGAAGTTGCCGTGGAGCCGTGGCATCGCTGCAGGAGCAAAGGGCAGCCAAGAACTCCCCGCCCGTGTAAGGGTTAGGGCACGCTGGTCCCTACAGTCATTACGACATCGATGGCCAAAAGAACGGCATCGAGTCGGCAATCATCATGTTTGTCAATCCTTCGAGCACGACCGGGCATTCCAACACCACGGGACCGCTTTCCAGCCCGGACCGGAACCCCACGGAGTATCGTTTCGAGCAGTCCGACAGTGCAGTCGACGATCACCAAAGACCGCCGATCAGTTGACCAGTCAAATCTCCCACGAACCCCTTCACCAGCTCGCAAATAAGAACAGGAACCGTGCGACCCACGTCGGTAGCTCTTGGACAACACCATCGCATCCATTTTCCTGCGTCATGGTGCCCCCCCAAACACTCGCAGACACACGTGGAATAGCATTCCGCAACACTCATCTCTGCCAATAAACGAAGAAAGCTACGCACCAGAGAACTGGAAATGAGGCTTAGCAGACACAAACCAATGCACAAGGCTCGCGGCAGTGTCTTACAGACTCTTGGGAAGGTTCCGACTGGCCAGTTCCGGTCGAAAAATCAGTTCGTATCGATCACTCTACTGTTCACCCAAGATATCGGCGCCCCCGTAGCGCAGTGGAACACGATAGGAGCTTCAGCCTAGAAACTTGCGGGACACTGCTGACGATACCTTACACTAGCATAGCGCGGGTTGGCACATCAGCAACGCAGACACAGAGACATCATGGTACTCTCCGACCCCCAGACCAAAAGACGGGCCATATACGCTACCCAACAAAATCTCCTCGTTGATATGCCGTGGCCTTTTACTACACTCGTCATCAGTGGTTGTGCCGTCCGCTTGAGATGTTGTTTGTTTGCTATGCCTTGATTGTCACAAACATTCACCAGTATATGGCGAAGACGCTAGATTGCATCTCTTCTTTGCGAATTCCGTCTGCTTATTGGATCGCGGGAGACTGGCCGTATCAGCCGCCGCAGCCCCTGCATGGTCGTAATCCGGGCTTGACCAGGCTTGCCAAGGCCAAACCAGAAAGGGGCAAAGGCTTCTAGACGGCGGCAGGGGCTTTGAGTCCCTCGAGGGACTTTGGTGGGCATCGATGGGCTTCTTCAAGGCTAGCCCATAACGGTATGGAATCATTGGGTCAGCCAGACTTTGGGCGAGGGTTCCCTTGCCATCAACCTTGCCCTTGCAGGACAGATCCATCCATCACGAATGCTAGTCCAGCAAAAGCCTACTGAAAACTTCCAACAGAAGTTCCACAAAAGAGCCATGGAGGCGCTAGGCAAGCCTCCAGAACCTGACGATATTTCCATCGCGTCAACATGCTCGCACCCATTTTGGTTCCATTCAGCCCCACGGAGTCCACCGAAGAGCGGAGACGATGAGCAAGAAAAACCAGAAGCCAAAAAGAGTCAGCGGTCACAGTCCTTGTTCTCTGACAAGTGCCGCAATCTGATAAGAAAACCAGGTATAAGTCTACTGTAATGATTGCATGATTCGGTTGCTTGTCCAAACCTACGATCTACACTACACGTGCACATACACGGTAAAGTTACTCGTTGTGTCGTCTCCCAAATATTCGCTCATAGACCAAGAAGACCGACTAGAAACCAATGTATTAGCGCCAACATGGTCCTACACCACAGATGATACTATGCGTACGAATTCCACCCTCGGCATGGGCTGTGACGAAAGGGTATCGACTACAGAAAAACCCTCACAAGACGACCATCTTCAGCACACGTGATCATTGGTTTACGTATTTACTAACAGCTTCTGAAAAGCTACGCCTCGGCTCCCCACGTACACATTTGAAGCCTACCAGCCTTGTATCTACAGATGTTGAAACGGCCAGCCGATGTGTTTGATTAGGCCGGTATTACGTAGACTATACCTTTAACCATTACACTTAGGCATCCGTACGGGCTTTCTTTATCGACTGTGTCTCTGTTTGGCGGCACTTTAAAGCAAAAACGTGTTCGTCTCGATGTGAGGATATCGGGAACGACAACGGTAACAGTAACGGATGACGGGGAACGTCCTGACTCGTGCGTGTCAACTTCTCCGCCATGGCGATGGCACCAAAGGTCATGAATCCAGAAACCCATCAGAGGAACCCACGTGCTGGATCCGAGTACATACATACAATGCAAGCATCGTAGTGTAGCCCCGCGAACCCCGGTGAGGGGTCGGTCCAAACTCCATTTTGAATCCATGAGCCCGGCGACCCCTCTCGGAAGTGGTGACAAGTCGGACATGTTCAGCCAAATCCACACCTCGGTCAGCTCAGGTCCTTTGACAACGATCTTTCCCCGGCACCGTCGAAAGGACTCAATCTACTTCGGAACTCGCTTGCCCAGCTGTCCTCACTCTTGCGAAGGGCCTCACTAGTCCTGTACCGCTCTTCTTGTATACCATCTAGAAGTTCTTCTAATACCTAGTTGATTGGGGCTTGCGATGCCAACTGGGTGGGTTATGGAGGAGGAACACCGGTGCGATGGAAACTATGGAAACCAAACCCCGCACGATACCGCTTTCAGGGTTTCTAGGGCTACCTGGCCTGTGTCTACCCCACAGTTTCGGCCGACTTCCATTTGAAGTGCAAGAACCGGTTACCTGAAGCTCTCAAGGTTCTTCTTTTGCTGGGTCTCTTGGGCTTCTCTGCTGCTGGCTTGCATCGGCCCCAGCGTGTCTGGTGGAACACGGAGCAACATTGTGGATGCCCAGTGCTCCGTGGTGATTCCTTTACCCACCGCATGCAGAGCGTGCTCGGCGGCCCCTAGTGTAGTGTACACTAAGAACGCGAAACATTTCCACCTCTAATCCGACGAGCCTCTCGGGATGCCTCAAAAGGCGTTAGCAAAAGTGGAAAGGAAGCGCAAAGAAACGAGAAAGGGAAGGTTCCCGACCGCGCCTAACGTAAACGCCAATCATGGCGTACATTGGTGCATGAAAGCGTAACGTAGATGCCCAGCATGGATACTAGTTGTGGATATCAGAGTAGAGACCGGAATGCAACACGGTTTTGTCAAGATTGTCAAGGGGAAAGGGAAAAAAAAAAAAAGAAAAAAAAAAAAAAAAAAAAAAAAAAAAGGAAAACTTTTTGCAGTATCATATCCACAAGTACAAGCTTCAAAGGTACGTATGCTTGTCGACTCCCTCCGTTTCGATAAGACTCCCGTTCTGTCTGTGGTGGGCGTTATGCTGACCAGGAATCCTGAACCGGCATTTGGTCTGCCCGTGGGGGAGCAAGGTATCCCGCAAGTCTATAAAGTTTGAGGAGATGCGGTGTGATGGGACGAAAACTCGCGAGTATGTGAGCCTGTCCCTGCCGTTTACAGGCAATCTGATTACGAGCTGATCCTACGAATCCGTCACATAGCAATCGATCCGTACCTGCCGAACTTCACGCAGCTTCTGCCAGATACACACTACTCCGGGGTGAGAATTGACAGCTTCACTTTGTCCGACCCAATGGCCGGGCCGGCCGTTCTTCACTATGAAAGTAAACATGGTGAACCTCGGTCTTCTCATTCGCAGTGTGTTTCGTACCCTATTCTCGGGCTTTTTGGGGGGGGGGGGGGGGGG